CCCCAAAACCCCAAAACCCCAAAACCCCAAAACCCCTAATCGCCTGTTATTTGTTGAATGTGATTATCAGATTATATTTTGTCAATGCTTTCAAGTTTAGTTTTAATTTCTGAGCGTTGCTTTTGATCCAGGCAGTAGATAAGACTCTCCTTCAATCTTTTTAGAGTAGAGAAGTCATTTCTGATAGTCTCTACATCAGTCTTTTCAATAAGTTCTTGCAGCAAGTCCCAGTTCTGGTTTTTAACTATTTATAGTGGTTAGATAATTGATGCATTATGCAAATACAAGCTCTAGTAACTTGTGATAAATCTTTTGGGCTTTTTCTGATATTAAAATAAGGAGATTTTCAGCAAATTACTTACTCAAAATTCCAATGAAGAGTTTGTAAGTGTTGGGTGATATAATAAGATTTTCAGCACTGGTTTTGAGAATATATTTCTTGATGAACTCAGTCACGATAAGAGAATCATCTTCTGAATTGAACTTCGTAATGTATCTAGCAATAGTCTCCATAGAGTTTTGGGTGATTCTATATGTATTGAGAGTAAATATCTTACTTTGTTTCTGAGAAATCTCCCATGAAAATATTGTTCAGAATCTCCTCGAACTGTTTGATATCTCCTTTGGCTGTACTGATCTTCAAACCAAGAAGGTCATTTGGGTCTTTGTTTTCCATAGTCATATAAATGTAATCATTGTGCAAAGTTTCTACAAGAGTGAATGCTTTCTTTGTGGTTCCCAAATGAATCAGCTCTGTACAGATTCTGAGCTTGATATCGAATAATAATTGCTCTTGATCTTTCTCTGAGAGTTGCAAGTTGTGCTTATTTGGTTTTAAATCATCAGTGATTTTCTTGTAGATTTTAATAATTTCAGCTCCACTCTTGTGGTTTAGAGCTCTGAGGAAGAATTTCTCCATTGTGTCCCATTCAATCTGAATGTTCCCATTGTCATTTGCAAGGTTTAAGAATTGCATAGTATCTCTTTCAAATCCTTTGCACATGTCAAGGTAGAGACAGAAATCAAGGAAGTTTTGTTTTGAAATATCAACTCCTTTATCAATGAATCTCTTAATTGTTCTTCCTAATAAGATTGGGCAATCAAGTTGAGAGGCTACTTTGATAATATCAGCAATAAGACTATCAGTAACTTCATCAGGGCTCATGTAGGTCTCTATGTGCTTAATTATCTTCTTGAAATGCTTCTTTTTTCCCTTCAAGAGAACTGAATGGAGCAAGGATCTATATCCATATGATGAGATAGAGGTCTTGAAGAGATTTCCGGAAAGAAGATTCTCCTTCTCACTTTCTTTTCTTTCCTCTTTGTTAATTTTTGGGGTACAGAATATTTTATAGAACAAAATGTGAGTGTTCTCTATCCAATTGTTCAGTTCTAGGGCATTCGCCAGAAATGAGATAACGAACAGAGGAATATCATCTAGATTCTCCATATCCCGAATGTATCTATGTTTTAGCATTGATTACTTACTCTTCGAGGTGTGTTTGCATCAACTTTTCATCTGCAAGAGAAAACTCTTTGAAAAACTCAAGAGGGAATCTTTTGGTAGCCTCTTCAATAAGTCTTTGCTCAGGAGTCTGTGCTACTTCCTGTTTAGCAAAATCCAGGGGCTCAGCTGCTTCAGATTCTGTTTTATCCATTAGAATGGAGGACTTAATCTTCTGGAACTCAATTTTTATATTTGTTGGATCATTCTTAGCAATATCCTCAAGCTTCTTTTGATCCTCTTTTTCTTTTTCACTATCTATTTTTATCAATTTCTTCAGATATTGGGTGAATCCTCCTGCCTTTTTCTGCTCAGGTTCTTGTTTAGTGCAGAAATTTCTTGTTGAAAAGTTAGAGAAAGCATTTCTCTTAAGTCTTACAGGCTCATTTGCAAGCTTATTTTGGAATACGGAATTAGATACTTTGTTGTATTCGTTGAGGTCACCTCCAGCCATTAAGTAGCTTCTGAGATGTCCTGCCTTTCTTCTTCTGTCTTGAAGACTGAACTCAAATTCTTCAAGAGAGGTTACATTGAACTTCAAATCTCTCAGAGTTTTTGTAGAATGGAATTCTGATATCGCCTCTTGGGATTCCTCAAGATGAGATTCAATCAAGTTATAGAACTTATAAGGTCCTTTAGAGTCTTCATAAGCACGAATAATATACTCTTGAGCTAATCTATCAGCTTCTTCAAGGGAAAGACCGTCTTTGACCAACTGATCTCTCACAGTGAGTAAGTCATGGAATTTTCCATTTTTGAGAGGGTTATAGATCTCATACATGTTATGAATGCCAACATCATGGATATCAAATGTAGTTTGGACATAGTTTCTGACAACCTCATCATAGATACCGCCAACTTTGAGAATTCTATCAAATGTTCCATCATCAGTGATATGTTCTGTCTCTTCATTAATAGAAGCCAGCAAGGACTCTAACTCAGTGTGACTAGACATGAGCTTGGAGAAAAGTGTAGGATCATCAATGGCACTTCTCAAGAGGCTGTGGTAGTGCTTAACTCTTTCAAATTCAGATAGCATCTTTCTGTATTTCTTGATGAGATGCACTTTCTGGACCTTAGCAGCATATATAAACTCTGGCTGCTTGATAAGTCCCTCATCAACTGGGATACTTTCAAGGTTGGCCTATACTTTCATTTTAGAATCGTACCTCAAAGGTTTTATCTTTATCTTGGGAAACAAAGAAGGTAGAGTTGAGCAAATTTTCATAGTTCTGAGCTGGCTCTGAGATCCCTTCTTCTTTGAGCTCAATGAGAACCTTGGCGAGCTCTCTGAAGAGGATGTCAATCCCTTGGAAGAAGTTGTACTTCTTTATCATGTTCAGGAAGACTATCTTGGTTGCCATTTCCTGAGAGATTTCAAGTTCTACAATTAGAGAAGGAGTCATACCTTTGATATCTAAAATTTGGGAGTGCTCTGGGAAAAGAACTTCCTTTGTGAGATTTACGATATGGTCTTTACTCTGCTTGTTCTTGAGAGCTAGGATTGGATCAACAAGAAGATATATTCCAATATCAAAGTCAGAAGCTAGTTGGGCTATAAATAAGGTCAGGAAAAATAGGGCGAGTTGTAGCAGACAAGAAGAAATTTGTGAAAGAGACAAAAAGAGGAAAAAAATAAGTTTATGAGGGTTTTAGAAGAGAAGAAACATTTCTCGAGTAGGATATTTTAAAGAACAGAAAATGATAATTAGATTAAATTTATCTATTTTAAAGCATGATTTTATCTGATTAAAGATCAAAATTCTTACAAGTAAAAATAGAGAGGATTAGTATGACTATCTTAATAGCTTTTGATATATTTAGTCAGTAAAATTGGAAGAATCAAACTAAAGTTGGCATTTTCAAGCGGTAGTTCAATCTTTTGAACTGCCTTCAACCCAGTTCAAAACTCTCTGATAATTATGTGAACTTCAAGCCCCACTTACTGTTTTCAGGAGAATTTAGGGTTGCTTCCTTCAGACATCTGTCTTTGTTGGCTAAATATCTTAAAATTGTTTTCTTAATATGTGAGTTGAGCTTAGCCTCAATATTCGAGAGATCTACCTTCTGAGAAGAAGTAGCTTGAGTCTTGATAACATCACTAAGAAGAGCTGAATAAGGATCAAAAGATTTCTCTGCATATCTCTCAGCTTTCGTGAGCCATGTCAGGTCGGCCTTCCTAGAATGCTTGCTGTGGGCTTTCTGGATGTTATCCTCAAAAAGATCCTCATCAAATCTTTTTGTAACATTATGAATCCATTTCTCTTTGAGTGTTTCGTATAATTTCTTTCTATCAGCATAATAAGCTTGACGGCTAGATCCCATATTTCTGGGCTTATAAGACTGAGGAGGATTTTCTTTCACTTGTAACTTCTTTTGGAAATCCTTGTTGTCCTTATTATCCTTCTTCCCTGATTCTGGTATAGGATTTTTGGAGAATACAACCTTCTGGGCACTCATATTTCTGAAAGAATATTGTACCAAAGAGAGATTACTCCTCAGATACATATTGCTTGAACTATTCCTGTAAATTGTGTGGATATTCTTGCTTATAATCCCGTTCTGAGGGTTTGCTGTGATGTTTGTGCCAAACCTGGGAAGGTTCTTCTTCATAATTTGAGAAACCTTGTTGTGTACGATTGATGATCTACTCAACATTTTAATTTATGATTACTAAAATTTTATAGACAATTAATTTATTATAAAAGGGGTTTTGGGGTTTTGGGGTTTTGGGGTTTTGGGG